CACGTAAGGAGCGCTACTTCCTGATTGTGGCGGACAACTACTCCCGCTACACCACGGTTTTCCCTTGCGACGGAAAGCTGACGTGCCTACCGTCCTCGAGCCATGGTTACTAGCGAGGGGTGGTGCCCAGGGCCTTTGTGGGCTCCGCCTGCACTCGGACCGTGGTGGTGCGTTCTCTTCCACTCGCCTGAAGACGTTCTGTCAGGGTCAGGGGATCATCCAGTCTTACACGCTACCAGACTCGCCGCAGCAGAACGGGGTAGCCGAGCGACGCGTCGGCCTGGTCATGGAGGTTGCGAGGTCCTCGATGTGCCACGTCGGTGCCCCCCAGTTCCTGTGGCCTCAGGCAGTCCGCTACGCCGCGCACCAGCTGAACCTGTGGCCCAGTGACGCACGACCACGGGTGACGCCGGTCTCCCTTTGGACAGGTTCCCTGGGTGTAGCAGCTGACTACCGCGTTTGGGGTTCCCTGGCTCACGTTCGCGCACCTGGCGCGAACAAGTTGTCTGCGCGCACCCGTGCCTACGTTTTTCTTGGCTTCACACTCGACTCCTCTGGCTGGGCGTTCTACGACCCGGTCACCCGCCAGTTCTTCGCCTCTCAGGACGTCAGTTTCGACGAGTCGGTCAGTTACTATAGGTGTCGCCCCCACCGAGGTTCTGAGGCCTTTCCCCCCCGCTGTTCCTCACCCCTGACTCCTTTCCCCCCCCCCCCCCCCCTCCCCGTCGCCCTGGTAGGCCCCCCCCCTTCGCGTCCTGCCCCGTCAGGTGTGCCGCACGTTACTCCGCAGTCGTCTCCCCAGCAGCGTCCAGTCCCTGTCGTGTCTGGGGGTGCGGGAGGTGCAGCTGCGGAGGGTGAGGGTACTGGGGCTGCCGGACCTGGTGGTGCTGGCTCTGGGGGTGCAGGGGGTGTGAGGGTGTAGACCTTTCCTATGGAGGACATGGCTGTCTCGACTCGGCGGCCTCGCCCCGCTTCACCTCCTGGCTTCCCGTCTGTCCCAGAGTTCCCTCCTCGTTCGGCTCTGCGACCGGTTGCTACGGAGCCCCGGGGTGTTCCTACGGGAGGTACTAGAGACACCGGGGGTGTCGTTGCTGGAGATTCTGGTTTTGGGGGTGCTGGAGCCGAGGACACGGGCACTGCGACGCCTACACCGTGCACTGTACGTTTCCTTACCCGTGTGCAGCGTCTAGACCGGTTGGAGAGGGAGGAGCGGGAGCAGTTTGAGAGGGCACGACAACAGCACCAGCAGCAGGAGCAGCAGCGGGAGCAACCTCAGTCGCAACGTCAGGAGAGAGTAGAGGAGGAGCCACAGCCGCAGCAGGAGAGAGTAGAGGAGTCATGGCCGCAGCAGGAGCGGGTAGCGCATGAGTCTTGGCCGCATCAGCAGTTGCAGTTGCAGCCACAGCAGGAGAGGGTAGAGGAGGAGCCACGGGAGCAGCAGCAGGGACAGTGGCAGCCGCAGCAGGAGAGAGTGGAGGAGGAGTCACGGCTGCATCAGGAGAGAGAAGCAGCCAGTTACACTCACAGGTTTCTCGGACTCGTCGTGGGCCGACGACGCTGAGTCGTTGCGGTCTACACAGGGTTACTGCTTCAGCCTTGGGACCGGAGCTGTTTCGTGGAGGTCGACTCGGGCATCGTCCGTCTCTAGTTCCAGCTGTGAGGCAGAGGTTTACACTGCGGCCGTGGCCGCACAGGACCTCCGCTGGCTGTCTTTCCTCCTCACCGACCTTGGTGAGCGGCCTCGCTCTCCCCTAGTCTTGTTCGCCGACAACATGTCTGCTGTCCTGTTGTGCGAGGAGCCTCGTCTGGTTGGGAAGGCGAAGCACATCCAGCATCGTTACTTCCTTCTGCAAGAGTTGCAGCAGCGTGGCCAGGCACTTGTACAACGTATGGTCTCTGAGGCCAACACAACAGATATCTTCACCAAGGCGTTGCCGCCTTTTGACCACCAGCGTTTCTGCACCCAGGTAGGCCTTGTGTCTACAGACCCTCACTTGCTTGCGTAGAGATGCTTTGTCTTGTACTCTTGCATCTCACTATATGTCCTATATCTCTGCTTGTGGACTGGCCTTGTGGCCCCTTGCTTTTGTAGAGATGCTTGTCATGCATGTCTTGTACTCTTGCATCTCTTATACTTGCTATATACTTGCATGTGGACTGGCCTTGTGGTCTTGCTTGTTCTCGGACTGCGTGGTGATCTTGAGATCCACCCCGAGATTTGCTTTGTTATTGTGGACTGGTCTTGTGACCCTTGCTTGTTCTTGCTCACTGGTACTGTGCCTATGAGTTGCTTTCCACATGCCTACCATCACCTAGACTATGGGGGTGTGTCAACATATATTTCATATGTTGTATTTGGTTTAGTCTAGGTGTTATTGTTTTGCCCTACCTCTAGATTAGGGTTTCATATATATTGCTTGTAACTTTGTCATTCTAGTCAATTTTACGTTTTCATAATTTGACGCAAAGCACTGACCCGGAGGGTAAAGACGGCCACGGGGTCCACCCTGACGAGTGCCATCTGAACAAGGTACGGGCAGGGAGTAAGGGCGACACCACGCCATGTCCAACTGGGTGGCCACCGCCACATCCAGCGCTCCCTGGTCCACCAGGTCCCCACTGCTGAGACTGCTGCTGCACCTGCCGCTGGACCTGCGGCTGTGGCTGTCCCTGGTGCTGCTGCTGTCCCTACTGTGGCTGCCGCTGTTGTACTGTGTACTAAGCAACTGGTTCAGCACCCTCTCCCGTCGGGCCCGCAGGCCCAGTACCACCTCCAGTGCCGCCTCCACTAAACGCACTAGTGCCGCCACTACCCCCCCCACCCCGTCCACCACCACCGCCGCCACCACCCTTCCCCTCTTTCTTACCTCCGCTGACTCAAGTCCGCCCACTAGCGACGGACACAGCCGCAGTCTCGTCAGAAGCAGGAGACGCAGCAGACGCAAGAGAAGCAGTGAAGGTGGGCAGCTGTGAGACAGTACACCCCTGAAAGAGCGGGGGAACTACGGCGGCAGAAGCGGAGGGAACGGAGCGGATGTTGCTCTCGACGTCCTTGAGAGCTGTCTCAAGGACGTCGATAGTGAGCGCATTAGGGTGCTCCCGAAGAAGCGCGTCGCGTAGAGGTGCAAGGCGGTCACGGAGGCTAATGACTATGAAGTGAATAGTGATGTGCATGGGCGGGGGGGCGACAGGAAGCTCAGCCTCGGTACGAGCAGCACGGTAGCTGGCGTCGAGCAAGCGCAAGTGGGTGACAAGGCCAGCAATACGGTCAAACACTCCTAGGTCGGGAAACAGAAACGGCATGAAGAGGCGACTAAGAGAGGCGGAGGAGGGAGTGGAGTAACGGCTCTTAATCATAGCAATACAATATTTGGCACATCAAACCTGGCTGAAGTGGGCCTCCTCAGTCTCGGAGAGAAGCCTGCCGAGGGCAATATGAGCCGCAGCGTCACGAGACTGCCAGTCCAAGAGAGCTGTATAGGCCTGAGCAAAGCGCTCCCACTCTGCGTCAGTGGGCTCAGGAGGCAGGTCAGCAGGGCGCGGAGGCGAATGGAGGTCATCAGAGGCGTGCGCCCGAATTGTGTCACTATCTTGGCGCTGACTTTGGAGGTATAACTCGGCGCGAATGAGCCAGGTGGGAAAATCTCGAGCTCAACCCTCCTCATCAAACCGTAGGACTCGGGCGGACGCCATCGCGAGTGCGCTACCAGTCTAGGAGCGAAAGGCTAGGAACTGCTAGAGCTAGAGGCGAATGAAGGGCGGCCGGCGCCAATACAGGCTAGTCTAGAAACAGCCGGAGTGAGTAGCGAACAAAGCCAGAGTGGCTAGACTCGGAGTGGCGTGCAAGCACTAAAACTAGACTTGGGAGGAAGCTCGAAACCCTAAGAACCGTCCAGTAACCAAGATAGGATGCGGCCTCCCGCCGGTGTGAAAGAGTCACCAAGAGCACGGGCCGGTTGGGGAGGCTGCGGTAGGTGCGTGTAAAGGAACAGTCGCGGGCAGCTCAGTAACAGGCACGGTAGGTGCTGCACGGGCGGTTGCTGATGTGCATGCGGCGGCGTGGGCGGTTACTGCTGCGCGTGCGGCAGATTTTGCGCGTGCGGCTGCTGCTGCGCGTGCTGCTGAATCTGCGTGTGCGGCTGCAGTTGTGCGTGTGGCTGCTGCCGCGCGTGCGGCTGATAGTGCGCATGTGCAGCTGCACATGCGCGTGCGGCTGCAGGAGTGCGTGCGGGTGCGCGTGCAGCTGCGTGTGCGGCTGCGCGTGTGCGTGGCTGCACGTAGGCGTGCGCGGCTTTGCACGAGAAGCTGCGTGCACTGCTGTGCGCGGCTGCGTGTGGGCGGCTGTGCGCAGCTGGCTTCGTGCGGGGCGGGACGGGTAGCGGGGCGTCACGGGACGGGACGGGTAGCGGAAAGGGAACAGGACATGACGGGTAGCGGGACAGGACGGGACGGGCTAAGTTAGGGTCCTAACTCGATTATACCATCTCAGAATATAATTAGCGGAATGAGGAGTGAACTAGGTAGCATGAGATACAAGGAGGAAACCTAATGTATTGTACTACCCTCTACAACCTACTTCACTATAGTCTAACACAATTACAAACATAGTTTGACATTTACACGCCCTATGCCTGACTCTCACATCCATGTAAAAAATGCACACTGCTGAACCTTTTTGCATGCGTTGCATTCCCCATGTCCACATTTTTTGCCTGATCCTCCACATCACAGAAGGTGGATGAACGATTGCTCAATTTGCTGCTCACATATTGGAAACACTAATAGTTGGAGCACGTTGACGTAGGCACGGCAGTATTGAAGTATAACTAGCAATCACCACCACCCAATCACCACGAACATACCGGTAGAAGCTGCATCGACACCACAATTACCCACAAAGAAAATAGCACATGACAGTCCTCTGAACTTCTCCTGAACCTGCACTGTTACTGTAACTCCAACAAACCAAGTTCTACAGATGGTACGGTGGTTATGCCAACTTAGTACCCGCTGGTGGGCTTCAGATGCAACCAGCTCCTGACGCCATCAGCAATCAAGCCAATGCTCATGGATGAGCTCGCACTAGGGTGGGAGTCAGAAGACATCCGAGAATCCCTTCCACCATACGACACAGCAGAGACATTTGTTGAGGGCAGACCTCCATTGCTTGAGCTTTCTTCTTTCACAATACTCCCCCACTCGTCTTCCTTGTCCGGGCAGTGCTTGGCAATGAGAGCAGTGAGGCGATACACCATCTCCGTCATGCTGGGTCGCCTTGTGCCTGGTGACTTCATGCAGTCCAGAGCCAGGTCTGCAAACTCCACTATGGCCTCCTCGATTACCGCCGGCATCTTGCTGTCCTTGAGCTCATCCAATTCAAATACCTCAATCTTCTTTCTTGCCTGGTGGGCGTCCAGGAAGGGAGAGATGATAGATTGGAGAGGCGTCCAGGCAAGGAAGAATGATAGAGAGGAGAGGTGTCGCCAAGGAGAATGATAACGGGCAAAGGCGATGGAAGGCAACAAAGAAAGGGGACTATGATCAAAGACGGACGAGGTCCGGGCATACAAGACGAGGTCCGGGCATACAAAGACGAGGTCCGGGCATACAAAGACGAGGTCCGGACATACAAAGACGAGGTCCGGGCATACAAAGACGAGGTCCAGGCATACAAAGACGAGGTCCGGGCATACAAAGACGAGGTCCGGGCATACAAAGACGAGGTCCGGGCATACAAAGACGAGGTCAAAGGCAGACTTGACATTGACGGCCATACCCATTCTCTGATATGCGAATGCTTTGTAACCTGAGGTGACTTTCCAGTGAGCAACTCAAGAAGCACAATGCCAAAGCTGCAAGCAGGCAAGAAATTTGACCATTAAAATACCTCTGAGGGTTGTGATACAGGGTACATACATGTAATTGAATGAAAAAGACAAACAGGGAGGGTCAAATTGCTGTACAACAGAACAAGCATGCGAACCTGAACACATCACTCCTGGCAGTGATGATGTTGGTGCGGTTGTAATCCGGGTCCACATAGCCTGGAGTGCCAGCCACTCGTGTGGCATCAGAGTCGCCATAAGTGAGGAGCTTGAGCAGCCCAAAGTCAGCCACCTTGGCGTGCATGTCGGCAGTCACAAGGATGTTGGCCGGCTTGATGTCACGGTGAACGATGGGTGTCTCAAACCCATGCAGGTACGCCAGGCCCTCTGCTGCTCCCTGTGCTAGGCGCAGCGGGAGCGGATCTGGAAGGGAGAGCATGAAATCCAAGCATAACGCATGTTTGTATAAGCAACGGCGTCATCTTCTCGGTGCCTCTTGATTGCCCGGTAACCATTTTGAAAAGCTATCGGAGCTCACTCTTAGTAACGTGGATGTGATAGTCGAGGTCCCTGTTGCCCACAAACTCATACACCAGGATCTGCTCCTGCTTGCCCGTCTCCACGTTCTGATCCAGGCAGAAGCCCAGCAGGCGCACGAGATGCGAGTGGTGGAGAGACGCCATGGCTCGCACCTGCAGCCCAAACCCCAAAAAATGACACAGGTGCTAACACTGAATCTGCTGGTTTGCTTTGCATCGAATTAAAACGTTGGATGATATCATGATAACATTTGTATTACTTGCTCTCAAGAAGGAAAAAGGACAAGCAGGCTGCTAACAGTGACATAAGCCTCACCTCCGTTTCAAAGTCATTGGTCATGATTTTGGAGCGCTTGATAGCCCACAGCTGGCCCTGTGGCGAGTAGCCTTTGTAGACAATGCCAAAGCCACCCTTGCCCAGCACGTTGTCTTTCGACCAGTTGTTGGTGGCCTTCACCATCTGCTCCAGCGAAAACTGCTCACACACATCCAGCCCCTCCCACTTCTCTGTGCACACACAAAGATGGACAGGATGGGTAATCCACCAAGGGTGGATGTGATTAGCCAGAGCAAGGGGGCAGAAAAGGGAGCATAGAAGGAGGATGGAAAAGAGGTGCAGCAATGGGAGATACGGAAGAGGACAAGGTTTTGGGGCCTCACTCTGTCCGCGGGGCCACAGCAGCCAAGCGACAACAACAGCCAGCAGAGTAAAGCCAGCAAAACAGCCCACAGCAATACCCACTATGGCACCCGTGGACAGGGATGACACTGCGCAGTGGGGAGGGTTGGGAGGGCCGGAAGAGGATGGAGGGGATTGTGGGGGGAGGGTGGTGGAGGGGAGGTGGAGGGGAGAGAGAGGGGGGAGGATGAGGTGTGATGAGGAGATGGAGGTTGAAAGAGGGGGAGAAAGGCGAATGGTGAGGGTGACAAAGGGAGAGATGTGGTCTGTATAATAATACTTCCATAAAATTTGTAGCAACACAGCACTGTCTCACCAGTGGTGGTGGTGGAGTTGACGATGGCACATGTGGAGCCGTTTCCCGCGTCAAGGGTGGAGTAGCCGGCATGGCAGAGGCAGGTGAAGTTGGAGGGGGAGGCGGGCGCAGGTGTCACACAGTCCCCATGGCCGTCACACGGGCCGTTGTCAATGATGCTGCAGAACGCCTGGCAGGCTGCCGTGCTGCGCTGGGTGGCGTTGGACGAGCACTCCCCGTCCGGCCTGAGCGTCAGGCAATTCCCCAACAGACCCACCCTCGCCTCCTTGCCTGCCCCTGCCACCGAGAAATAGTGGCTACTAGTAGCTGCAACATTGTTGCATTTTCCGGCAAGCACATCGAACGTGTCCCCCATGTCCAGACTGTTGGGGTCGCTGATCTCGGTGGGGCAGACCTGGCAGCCGGCAGCAAAGAGCACGGCATCACCGAAGAAGAAGTTGTGAGCCAAGTTGATGAGCGCGTCGCCATCCGCCACCATGTTTTTGAAGTTGCGGTTGATGCGCCCGTACAGGCTGTTCCCGCTCACATCGCTGGGAAGAGCACGGTGGCAAACAGTGGAGTTTGAGTGGATGAAAGTGGTCATGTTACAGAGTCTACAGCACTGAGCCCATGCGACAGCCACTCGTTGCACTGACCATACTGAAGGTGCAAGCTGGTGCACGCATGGTACCAAGAACTCTTAAAAGTAGCTGGGATGGCTCACATTTGGTTGACACACTTGTCAAAGAGGCAGTCTGGCAATGGCCCATAGAGGTAGTTATTGCTCATCATACTGCCAGCAGCAGAACAAACACCACGCCAAACAATCAGTTACACCCACACAGTATGGCATAAGCACAGAGGAAGCTAGCTTGATATTTTTTCTTCCAACTCAGAAGCATGAATTCAGTATGTATGCGAACCTGCTTTCTACTACAAAACGCTTGAACATCACTATCAACTAGACTTCTACCTTTCGCAGTCAAATTTCCCACTCACATGCGCCACAGCCACGGAAGCGAGCACAGGCTAGATGGCAGAGGGCCCTCGATGTTGTTGTTGTCCAGCCAGCTGCAGGGGCAGGCAGAACAGTGGCAGGCGGCAGGGAGGTGCCTAAGGTGGCATGAAGACCAGGGTGGAGAGGAGACAGCACAGGTGCCCGTTTGTGTTTTTGTTCACAAGCACTAGACTTGTGTTGTAGAATCCGTGCAAGTTTTACTTCTGCTCTCATGCCCGTGTACGTATTAAGAGGAAGGCAGATAGCACCCTCACATCTGTTCGAGCTGCTCCAATCGGCTGATGTCGGCTGGCAGAGTGCCGCTCAGCTGGTTGTTGGCCATGTAGCTGAAGGGCAGCAGCAGGGAGACATTGCAATGAGAAGTGGCGTATGCAAGAGCGATCAGGGTTGCAGGCCCTCACAATGGGACAGAATTGGGGACGCTTGATGGGCACTTGAGGCTCACAGGTACTTGAGATTCGTCATGCCGAAGATGGTTGAGGGGATGCTTCCCGTCAGTTGGTTGTTATTGAGGGTACTGTAGGGGCATGGAAAGGGAAGTGCATATTGAGCCGCAGCTGTTCTGATAGCACATGGACACTGTGAGTGCATAGCCTAGAACTGCTAGATTTCTCCCGCAACTCCAGGTTTGAAGATGGCAGTCTTACACAACAACCTTGATTGGATGGAAATAGTTTAAAGGGTATGTGCTGAAGGGCAGAGGCTGAAGGCATATTGAAATCACAGAAGGCTCACATGGCTTTGAGGGAGGTGAGGGTGGAAATCGAATCGGGAATAGTCCCCGTGAAGTTGTTGTGATTGAGGGCACTGAGCCACAACACAAGCAAGGCAGAAACATACATGAGTTGGGTGGACTCAACTGCTGATTAACTTCCGATGGATGTGGGGTCGAGTGGATGCAAATGGACGACACGAAGCTGAGAAATAGAATAGACATCATGAGCACTCGCATGGCGATGCATCCTCGACTAGATCCGTTTGGGTCGAATAGGGCATGCCTTGTCAACTCCAATGCTATGGGGCGAGTCAACACTCGTCGACACGATTCAGTTGTCTCATGCGAGACCACAGGTTCGTTGCAACAGGGTTCACATTTCTTCTCTCCAAGAGAGCGTGTCAGGTGGGGAAGGGGAGGAAGAGATTGTGGAGAGGCTTACATCTGTATGCAGCTGACATTCCAGCGGTAGAAGTCTGGTAAGGAGCCCGTGAAGCCATTTCCTGCCAGGCTACTGCGCAGTGCAAGAGCAACAGATGGAGACTCAAGGGACATCAGAGTCAAGCATGAACGAAAGAGGGCAGGCCCCTACACACAATGGGTGCCAGTATACGCATTGGTGTCAGCACACAGGCATTGGTGCGAGCACACGCATTGGAGCCAGCACAGGCACTGGTGCCAGCACAGTGGATGCACTGCTTACAGTGTGAGTAAGGAGGGGGGGGCGCTGAGGGTATGTGGAAGGCCTCCAGAAAGAAAGTTGTTGGCTACCTCCCTGTATTGGGAGAAAGGGAAAAGAGCGACTCTATTTAGCTGTTTGGGACGCAAGGAAATTGCCAACGAATATGCATGCATGGTGGTGGTGGTGGGCCATCAACATACAGAATGCTTGGAGAGGGTCGATGCAGGAGGCAAGACGTGAAGCAAGTAGCAGGGAGGCAAGCAACCTCCTTGCTAATATTTGGCATCCCACAGTGTACTATTCGATATCAGTTTGTAAATGCCTTTTTACTTGTAAGCATACTCATATTCGCAATCTTTTACTCAGGGGCAGAGGTGAAGGCCACAGTACAGTGCAATTTGGAAACAATGGTATAATAGAGCAGTTCAATCGGTGTTTTAGAGCAGTTCAGCTACTTACAGCGAGTAAATCATGGATAGCTGAAACAGGCCCGATGGGATAGCTCCATGGAAATTGTTGTCATTAAGATTACTGGGCATTTTGAACGAGTCAAGATTCAAGACTGGATGTGCGTATCTTAAAAATCCACGCAGAAGGCTGCATTATATACAGTCTATATAAAGGCTCCTCCAAAGCAACCCCCAATGCCCTGCATGGCAATATTTCCACTCTGGTTCACATCCCTCCCCTTGCTGCAAGCAAGTGCAGCACCCACAACCGCTCACATTGAGACCACAGGCTCCTGCAGAGTACCAGGCAGCGGTGCCACTCTCATGCCCTGCAGGTTGACAAGGTTGGTCAATTCGCGGGGGATAGTCCCAGTGAAGCTATTGTTGCTCATGTCCCTGCCATTGCCGTTCCAACAACATTGCCACATTAGTTGTTTAGATATTATCTCAGGGGGGACTATGGAAGCAACGTGCATCACAACTCGATGGAAATGGCAGCATGTGTTCCACCCGTGCAACCCTCCCTTGTTTGAGGAATCAACGCAACGGCCAACAAATGGATGTCTTACAGGAATTGAAGGCTCTTGTGGTGCAGGATAGCACTCGGAAACGTTCCAGTGAAGTGGTTATCATTAATGAACCTGAAGCAGGCCAAAGATGTATACGGTGGGGAGATGATGAAACGACTCCATGCAGAATGCCGTATAAGTTCGCAAACACGTCGGCACGAAATGATGGTAGCTGGTACTTGCATATATGCGCAAATATGCCTGCATTCATGAATGCTTTGATTAAGGTGTGTGTGCACGTGCACTAACAGAGGCAGGCCAACATGTGAAGATGCATAAACACGCACCACAGATGATCATGCACCATGAACTAAAATAGCGACGTGAAGTGATTTTAAAGAGGGGCCCAGAATCATATAGGGTGCCCTTAAAAGTGTTAATGTTAGCCCTCAATCTCACACTTTGTACTTTACATTTTCTATATCCTAGAGTAGTGTAGTTTGCACTTTGTGTTTGGTTGGGTGTACACCCACATCCCAACCAAACCCAAAAGTAATCTCCAAGCAATCTCCAACCCACCAATTGGAGATTGCCTTGGGATTACCCCCAATCCCTAGGGATTGCCCCCAATTCCCTTTCCCATCCATTCCCTACCCTTCTTGGATGTACTTAAAGAGCTTCATGCTCATTACTAATGTATCAGTTCGAAGCCTAAGTTCTGACATGGTATCAGAGCTCTTCAACCGCACACGCGGATCGTGATCCTCTCATCTTTGCGGATGTTCGTCCCGCAAACCTCGGCGTAGCCACCTTCAATCTCGTCGCCGGTGATTCGCGACATTCGTGGGCGGAAATTCTCCCGCACCACCTTCCCGTCAATTTCGACGACATCTACCATATTTCTGGTAAGCGCATCGTCAGCGCCTTAACCTATCGCTCCTTTTTCGTCCAACGTCATCGTGTCACCTCTTCCCCTCGTCGGGCCGTCGCCCGTCGCCCCGCAGCTTCTCGTCGGGCCGCCGCCCGTCGCCCTGCAGCTTCTCGTCGGGCCGCCGCCCGTCGCCCCGCAGCTTCTCATCGGGCCGTCGCCCATCGCCCTGCAGCTTCTCGTCGGGCCGCCGCCCGTCGCCCTGCACCGTCACCTTCGGGCTGCTGCCCGTCGCCCCGCATCTGCACTTCTACCCCCATCCCCCCTTTCCGCAGCTGAACAGGTGCAGCAGCGCAGCCGAGCAGCAGCGTAGCCGTGAAGCAGAGCAGCCGTGTAGCCGTGAAGCTGAGGGTGGTGTGTGGGGGGGTGTGTGGGAATAGGGTTAGTTTCACGGAAATCGCCTGATTTAACCTAACTTCGGCGGCCTGAAAAATCCTTCTACGAGGCATCCCGACGCGGTCGACATTGACGATTTTTGCTATTTAGATCCGTCGAAGTTCCTATCGTTGACTTAAGAGCGGCGCTTCGCGCGAGACACCAAGGGGTCTTCATTATGGCCTTCACCTCGTCCACCATGGCCAACCCCATCACCCCACTCCGCCTTGAAGCCGATGGCTCTAGCTCCAACTTCAAAGCTTGGAGCTATGGGGTTGACAAGCACCTCTTGAGTCGTGACGTGCAGGGATTGGACCTCAAGGATGTCCTCCTCAACCGTGGCAAGGGAAAACAGCCCCCTCCCCCCGTTGAGCCGACTGAATCCGCTAGTGACACTGACATGAGGGCGTACGAGGAAGCCGTTGAAAAGTACCGGAAATGGGAGAAGGCCGATGCTGCTATCATCAGCGTCTTCATCGCCTCCACCCCTCCCGAACTTGTCAACACGTTCCACAACTACCCTACCTCCAACGCCATCTGGAAGTCTCTCCAGGATCGGTTCATGAACAAGACGGCGGTCGGAGTTGCCATTCTCATCCCCAGCATGTTTCAGATCCGACTTGAGGAATGCTCGGGAATGGCCGACTACATTGCCAAGGTGCAGACCATTCATGGCGAACTCAAGGAGCTGGGTATAGTCTTCCCCGAACAAGCCCCTGCAGCCGCCCTTCTTGTTGGTCTCACCTCGGCATATGAAGTCACGAGGAAGATGCTCCTCTCGCTCTCTGCGGAAGACCTCACCTTTGCTACGGTCTCCACCGCACTCCTCTCTGCCGAGAAAGACTCCACGGCTCAGGCCAAGGCTTACGCCATCCGCGCTCCCATGCCCCAAGCAAGTGTCGCAGCGGCCCTCGCCTCGGCGCCCTTC